AGCAGGTCGCAGATTCCAGTACCGACATGGTGGTAACCTAGTTTAGGGTTGATACACCGTGAGAGGCCTATTTATGCTCTTATAGTAGGATTCTCAATCTTCAGAAATCCCCTGCAGCACCAACGAAAACCCTGCAAGCCCCACTAAAGACACCCAAAAGAACAACCTGCAGCTCCTTAGCCCGAGCTCAACACATGTCCCGGCTTCTTAAGGGGATGCCATGCATCGAAACCTAAAACGCTGAACCCTAAGATTCCTTAAGCCCTAAACTCTCCAAGTAGCCCAAAGTTGGTCTGGCGATTCGAGCTTGAAGTCAGTACCCTAAACCCTAAACCCCAAAGCCCAGCTGCCCAACTACATCCGAGGTATAGCCTACATGCCGCATCCTGAGCTCCAACGCCTAACAACCAAAGCCTCAAAACCCTAAACTCAAAGCCCTGAACCCTAAACCCTTGACCTGAACCCTAAACCCTTGACCTGAACCCTAACCCCTGAACCCTAAACACTTGAACCCCTAAGCCCTAAAACCCTGAGCCCCTAGATCCTAAACTTGAAAGCTCCAGAAGCCCTAAGCCGAGGGGCCAGGTCCGGCACCGGTGGTTTCAAGGTATTTCGAGCCTGCAAGGGTATACTTTACTGTTTAGGGTTTCGGGTTTAGGGTTTGGGGTTTGGGGTTTAGGGTTTAGGGTTTACAGTTTAGGGTTTCGGGTTTAGGGGCTAACCCTAAAGCCGAAGCCAAAAACTCTGAAATGCAGGAATACCGCCTCTGGGGTCCTGCTGATATTTTAGGAACTTGGGTTTATAGGATCCTTGAGGGCTTAGGGTTCAGGGTTGAGGTTCCGGGTAGCTACCTGGATGTGGGAACTTGGCTTTAGGATGGTCTAGGGTGGTTGTTCTACTGTAATGGAGGGCCTTGATAATTTTAATAGGGTTTTACGGTATATTATACTATAATCATACTCAGGAACCCCCCAAAAAATAGTATTGGTAGTTATTTAGGCCCTTACATTACATGGATGTGAGATCTGAGAGTAGAGGCTCACCAGGATCTGCGTGTGGCTTTTGGGGTTCAGGGCGCGAGGGTTTAACTAGGGTTTCAGGGTGTAAGCCCATCAGATTGAAGGATGAGGGGACTAGGATTTAGGGCTTAGGGTTTAGGTTGAGGGTTTAGGGTTTAGGGTTAAGGTTTAGGTTTAGGGTTCACAAGCACATCAAGACACACAACAAAAACCACACAGCAGATCAATAGCACGGACGATTGCTTCAGCGGCGCCCACCAGCTAACTGCAAGGGTCATTCGTTTTGTGCACTTGTTAAGTTCTCATTCCTGCCGTGAGCACTGCAAGTGCTGATGTGCTGGTCTGTGCTGATTTGCATTCGTTCACAGTTTTGGCTGTATTCTTCCTTGCACTGCGTATTCGTGATCGCTTTGGGTTGGATGTTTTCCCTGTTCGATGAGTGAGCTTATGCGATGATCTGCAAACTCCAAAGATGCGGCTTTCAAGCCTTCCACCTGGTAGCGGAAGTTCAACCCCAGAGGAATCTTCGACAACACCAAAGTTCTAAGCTCAAACATGAGAGCCCTCAAGCCTCACATGGATGACCGGCAAGGTGCTCAGCTGCTCTCCGAGAGTCAGACATCCAAGGCAACCGACTACCAGCGCAGGCTGCAGGAGCATGCGCATATAACATCACGAGACACGATTAATTCGTTGCAGCCATATTCGATTCCACTTCAGACCCTTCGCTTTCACCCAAATCCGAATCTCGCAAACCCAACAAGGGTCCATGTTGCTACATATGCGCGTCCGAACTGTACAAGCATAAAGGGGCTCCCCTGGCCTAGAAGGCTCGTTTCTTCAGCAACTCCACCCTAAACCCTCTACCAGCTCTGGCCCAGGAGCGTTGGGGCTGTTGCCGTTGGGCGTGCTCTTGACAGTCTTAAAGCTCCATTTCGATACGGTCCTTGAGGGATTCCGAAAGTTGGCTCGACGGGCTTCGGGTTTCAAGAAGACCCTCTAGAGCTTGGGGTTTAGGGTTGAGGGGTTTAGGGTTCAGGGGTTCAGGGGTTAGGGTTAAGGGATTTAGGGTTTAGGGTTTTGGGGGTTTGGGGGTTTGGGTTTAGTTAGGCTTTAGGGTTGTAGGTTCAGGAGTATACAGGTCCATGGTTTCGGCGTTAGTGCTTTAGTGCTGTTTGGGGGGCCTTGGCAAACCGAAGATTTCTGATTTTGAAAGCTTTGGGTTCAGGTCTTGATGGTGGCGGCAACTCGGCAGAGAACCTCCAAGAAAGCTCCATCACTGTGCGACCCTTCGTGACCCTGTATGGTTCAGGGTTTAGGAGATTATGGTCCGGGGAAAAGGGTTTAGGCATTATTTATAGGGCTTTGGTGTTATATCTCTATATAAACATATATATATATATGTGTGTACGTATGCATGTATGTATGTATGTATGTATGTATGTATGTATGTATGTATGTACGTCTGTGTATGTATATGTATATGTATATGTATATGCATGCATGCATGCAACACACACACACACACATGTTTATATATATATATATATATATCTAGATTGCAGTTTAGAGGTTACATAGGATCTAGGGATTGGGAACCCTGCACCTTCCAGCCTCCCTGAATCAACTGCGAGAAGCCTCAGCAAGATCTTCACACCCCTTGCAACACCCTTGCAGTCCCAGAACTGAAGCAGGTTTAGGGGTTAGGGTTCAGGAACCAGTTTGGTGGCAACGGAAACTATGGTGACCATGCAAGGTGCTACATGTTGGGTCGAGGTACTTCTAGATGCGTCACCCTGGAGCTTGAATCGCAAGTAGCCAAGTGAGACCCCTGAAAGCCCACCTCAAACCCTAAGCCCGAAGGCCTAAACTCGAAACTTGGCTTGCCTGGAACAGGGCCGCGGGGTTGCGCTGGGTGGCGGCAACGGTGACTCATCCATGGCTTTGGTCCAACATAGACTGAGGCGCGAAGGGCTTCGTCGATGAACGTGTTCGTTTTGCACTACTATCTGTGACTTATAACTTTTGAGCGTGGCTTTTGGAGAGCAGCCGATTTTTAGAAATGCAATCTGCAACATGTTGCTGGTTTAGGGCTGGGGCAGTCTTCGACACAACACTCTTTAAGCCTTTATAACAAACCCCCCATCTTCGTCTTGTTGATGCACAATCGCCGTTTGTGGTTTCGCGCGTATAGACAGCTCCCTACTGTGCAGAGGCGTAAGCCGCCTTTGGCGTCTGCCACCTCTGCGTGAGGCTTGTTGTTGCCTCTGAGCCGCCTGCAGAGGTCGACATCGGCAGAGTGCAACGTCCTCAAACGCATACCAACCTTGATTCCGAAACCTGAACCGTCTATTGAGTCTATGGCCTTTGTACAGTAACTTTATTGAGAGCCCAGCTTCTGCGAACATAATGTATGGGCCTTAGTGATTAGAATAGGGTTTCGGGGGCTCCTTATTATGATTACACAAGAATATGCCCCAAACCCTTTTCTAGTTATGAAGGCCCTATGCTAAGCTCTAAGGGCTTAGGGATGCTTCGGCTAGGGTTTTTGCCAGCTTAGTAGGCCGGAAGTTCGTCCTCTTACTGCTGCCACGGCCTCACTTCGGTCGGTTGGGCGCCTAGCCTTGGGTTTGGGGTTTAGGGCTTAGGGTTTAGGGTTTCGGGGTTAAGGGTTTAGGGTTTGGGGTTTAGGGCTTAGGGTTTCGGGGTTTCGGGGTTTAGGCGACGGCTACTACTGCTGACAGATTGCTTCTGGGCTACGGATGAAGGCCCCAGAGTGGAAACCCGATACCCTGAACCCTGAAGGCCCTATAAATTCTAACCGCCGAACCCTGAACCCTACACCCTAAACCCTAAACCCTGAACCCTGAACCCTAAAACCGCAAACCCTAAACCCTAAACCCGAAACCCTCAAAGCACGAATCCCGTGAGCCCCAGAGTGCCGGCTCCAAAGCTTGACGACTTAGCAGCGGCGCTCAAACGGCCTCCCCTTGCGATTCAATGGGTTGCCAGGACCTACTCAGCACCCTGGGCTGAAGCGTGAGCCCCGAACACTGATAGGGTTTAGGGTTCAGGGTTTAGGGTTTAGGGTTTAGGGTTTATAGGGCTTTGGGCTTAGGGTTTAGGGTTTAGGGTTTAGGGTTTCAGGGTTTAGGGCCTAAAACTTGAAGCCCTGCACACTTACCCCAGCCATGGTCAAAGCCCTCAACATGACAGCTGCAGCGGAATCCGACACATTGCTAAGGCTTCGGAATCCAGTCCAGGGCGAAGTTTATGATTTAGGGGCCTACAGTGTATAAGTTCAGGGGTATGTTGCGGTAGCCTGATTGGTGGTTACCCATAGGCCCCATAGTAGTTCCTTTTTGGGGTTCATATTTAGAATCCTATAAGGTAACCGCAAAAAGGAACTACTATGGGGCCTATGGGCAATGGAATTCTGAATGTTTTGCAGGGCCGGAGTGTTCGAAGTTAAGCAGGGGACTCCGGCGGCGCAGGCATGCACCATGGTAATGTAGGGGCCTTAATAGTTAGAACGAGGTCTTGGGCTCCTTTAAAGTAGGGTTTAGGGTTTAGGGTTTAGGGTATAGCCATAATAAGGAACCCCAACGAATGATATTGGTAATTACTTACGCTTCTATGGTAAATGCCGCAGGTTTTCGAGCAAAAGCACAACACCAAACCCTAAACCCTAGCCCCCAAACCCTACATAAACTCCTAAACCCTAAATCCTAAAACCCAAACCTCTAACCCCTAAACCCCTAAACCCCTAAACTCCACAACCCTAAGTCCAGGGAATCCCAAATACAAAACTCTTGCAGGTTAGAGCCTCGTAGACACCTGTAATGGTACCCGTTGCAAACCCAAAAAATCATGTCAAGCGCTAGCAAAACAAGGGAAACCCTAAACCCTAAACCCCTAAACTCCCTACACCCAAAACTCCTAAACCGTAAAGCGAGGTGAAACGGACTGAGGCTCTGCACGCTACTCTGCCTTCATCGCACCACCCACCACCTGGGCAAACCCGGTTCAGGGTTTAGGGTTTCGGGGTTTGGGGGCTTAGGGTTAAGGCTAGACAGTCACTCCGAGAAGCCCAACTGTCCCCCTAAACCCCAAACCCCCAATGCCTGAACCCAGCTGTGTCTGATATACAGCCTGGGTACGCAAAAACCTACTGCTTGCAGGGTTCTAGCTGTAGTTAAGGGGTCATGACCGACAGTTAACTTTGTGGGGTTTAGGGCTGCAGGACGACCACGACTTGCTACCTTAAGCTACCATGACCTACTTTTTTGTAGGTTCCAGCTATAAACCTCAAGACAGGCTCCAACAAACAAGTAGTATTCGTAGGTTCAAGCATGTGTAGGCTTCCGTGCTTTTAGGAATCTAAAGTCCCAGAACGAGAGCATTGTGTTTTGTGTTACTGTTAGGGATTAGGGTAGTTGGGGATCAAGACCTGGGCGCGATAGAAATGAGAATGATGATCAACATGATAAGTATTTTTCTACCGTATTGGCGCAGCGAGATTGTTTACTACCATGGGGCTGCACCAGGGGTTGGATGACAAACAAAAGCCCCAGACCCCACAAAATCACGGGTTACGACCCCTGAACTATGGGCTAGGACCCTTAACGCAATAGGTTCTTGGATTCCCGAATATTCATTATTCGAAAACCGTGAGGATGCAAAGAACCTCACATATGAGGGATTTCATATCCCATGTTCAACCTAAACCCATAAAGCTTAAACCCTAAACCTAGAACATCGACTGCGCCGTAAACACTGAACCTGCGACCGCAGGAGCGCAGCTGCCGCAAGCCCGAGAACCCTCAAGAACCAAGCCTAGAATTAGAAGGCCCTGTATGTAAGGGCCTTAATGATTAGAATGGGGTGTTGGGGGGTATACTATAAATATAATAAGGAACCACCGAAATCGCATAGGTAATTATTGATGCCCCTACATTACAGCCTTAAACTACACTGAAGCTTGAGTCATTAATGCCTGAAACCTGGAACACCCGAATCCTTCACCCTCGAACCGCTCGGAACAAAGAAACCCTACAGACACGCCCACGTCCAACACAACAGCCGTCAGTTTATGGTGTAGGGTGTAGTAAAATTCAGTGGCGCAGGGCGTCAGAAACCAGAGCTCCTTAAACCCCAAACCGCTAAACCCTAAACCTTGTGTTTTGTCTTTCTCCAGACTGAACTGCAATTCCCAATCACCCAGGAGGCCTTCTTCAGCTAGAAGGTTATCTTTATCTAGCCATGACCGTAGACCATACCAGAAACTATGTGTGTATGTATGTATGTATGCATGCATGTATGTACGCATATCGGTATAAAGATAGAACAGTAAGCGAAGGAGTGTGGGATCCCTACATATGAAGCCGAGTGAACCATATAAAACCGTGGAAACGTACTGGCAAAAAATACCGTTTAGAAATCTGAAACCTGAACCAGTAAATCCTAACCCTGAATGCTACACCCTAAAGCTCGACCCCGAAAACTTAATCATTCATCCTAAACCAAAAACCCTATAGGCCTTAAGCCTCCAAACCCTAAACCCCTAAACCCTAAACCCCAAACCCTATCCCTACAGCGAAGCACTTGCCTTGCTCTTGACCACTTTCCATCCCTTTCCTTGCCGTACATCCTCAGGGCCACAAATTAGAGGCCATCCGGGTTTAGGGTTTAGGGTTATTAGAGTAAGGGACCTAAGGCCTAAGGTCTGCAGAAAGGCTTGAGAAGGGTTTAGGATCCAGTGCCTGGGGTCTTCGTGCAGCGCTCGAAGTTTATGGTTTAATTGTCAGTGGCGGTTCCCTGACCCTGCGAAAGCCACCGTTGTAGGGAGCATAAATGTTGCTTCGGTGGATCGTATACTACAATCGAAGCTCTGGAGTCCGGCAAATTCTTCCGGTTTTCGGGCTTGGTTCAGGGTTTAGGGATCGTGAGTTGAGTCTGGCCGTTTGCAGCGGTTTTTCGGTGATTTTGCGATCAGGCAGCTGCCTTGATTTGGATGGGACCACCATGAAGTAGAAGCTAAGTTTAGGGCTTAGGGTAAATTCTAAGCTAGACCCTATGACCTATACCCTAAACCTGCATTGCGAGGGTTTGTGTCGGAGCCCCCTTTCTCAGCTACTTCCCTGTAGAAGTCATTATTGCAGCAGCTCCATGAGAAATCTGCCTAGAACTACACACCGACGTTCCGGAAATGAGATTCCACGATGGTGATTTGAAGGAATAACAAGTGAATTACAACTGCTTTTGTAGATCATGTTACTTTGTGACCTACAAAGCTATGTCCGATGGATGATGTACTAGCCCCAAACCCTACCTAAACCCCAAAATTACGTAAGTAAAATAGTGGCCCAACACCCATACAAGACTACGTTCTGGATACGTTTGGGGATTCGGTAAACCCTATAAATTGTACACCATTTGGAAAGCAAACCCTTTCACCAACGAATCGCAGCCTACGAGGCGTTTTATGCAACAACTCTCCCAAAGGGTCATAAGGACATATGTGGGGAACATTTACCTAAACCATAGAAACTCCGACTATCGGAACCACTCTTTCTACTATCTATAGGGTTTAGGGTTTAGGGGTTTAGGCTTTAGGGGTTTAGGGGTTTGCTTCAGGGTTTAGGGTTCATGGTTTAGGGGTTTGAGAAGATATTGTCTTCTTGCAGTCGCGGTGTGAGTAAGTACAAGTTTTCATGTATACAGACTATAGGTACATATGCCATGTACATGTATACAGACTGCGTATGCACATGTCTACAGCTTACGGCTCCACTTACCTAACGAATGGGTTGATGGGATTCTTCATGTATGGCTATGAACCTACTGCATAGGTAACTGGAGCACTTGGAAAATAGGTCCCCAATATAGTACGGCACCCTTTATAGGGACCCTAAGTGGGACCCTATTTCGAGGCCTACCCATACATGTCTACAGATTATGCTTAGGCTGAACCTTGTACATCCGCTTCGCCCCGTAAAAACTTGAATTTAAAACTAAACCTAAACCCTAAACCCTCAACCCTAAACCCTAAACCCTAAACCCCTAAACCCTAAACCCTAAACCCCAAACCCTAAACCCTTTGGCACTCCCATGGTCGCCTCCTTCTGCTCCTTGCCTTGGCTTTTCGGCGGAGCGCCTTGGGCAGGTCTTCCAAAGTCCCTTTAATGGGAGAACAGGGGACTTAGTAATTAGGTTATAAGTAGAGTTATAGGTACCCTAGGAGCTACCCCAATTATAACCCTACTTATAACCGAGTTACTAAGTCCCCTGGGCCTCTAAGTAATGGGAGAACAAGGTTTAGGGTTTAGGGAGTAGCCCGGAAAGCCCAACACTCCTCAATCAAGGAGTTTAGCTTGAATTCTAGCGGCCTTAATGTTGATGATTTAGGGTATATGCTTAATTGAGGGGTATTGAAGGGCTCTTGGAGGGGCTGCGGGGTTCGGGTTTAGGGTTTAGGAATATATCCTAAATCATATCAGGGATCCAATTATTCTTCAAGGTTTACTTCTTGCTGAAGGGATTCTTGTTAGATCCGGGTTTTGCAGGGGGTTGCTACCCATTGCGGGGATTGCGGCACGTAGTGTAATGGGGTTGGGGGGTGTAGGGCATGTGGAATATGGAGTCTCATGGGTTTTCCAGGGTTCCTTTTATAATGGCTTGTCAACAAGCCTTCCAGAGGTTCCTTTTGACGAGCTTCAGATGGCTTTCTAAGATTCGTTCAGTGTTGCGCTATCTCCGTCTTGACAGCGGAGTTAGATCGTTGTGCTGGTTGAGTCATGCTAAGTGCTGATCCTCGTCAGGATTTATCTGAGTTTGGGGGCTTCCTTAATGATTCTGAAAAGGCAGGTCGGCTCTTTGGGGACCCGGATTTCGGGCAAAGCGCCTCATCCTTGGGCTGTGGTTGTTGATAGTCGGTAGCGCTTAGGGTTTAGGGTTCAGGGTTTAGGGTTCAGCGTTTAGGGTTTAGGGCATGCTGACGACACAAATCCTAAAGCACTCAGCTCTCTCTCCATAGATGCAAGCAGGCAACTACAGTAACTACAGTAGACTGTTGGAAGTTTAGGGGATGGCGGCTTTGGTGGGAGCTTGCCTATCATGCAAGCAGGGCAAAGTACAATTCAAATCCATGGGAAGGCCACGCTGCGAGTTGCATAGTTACTTGAAAATATTTACAAAAAACAAAAACTTCAAACATACAAAGAATGCCTACTGCGGGATCTGTGAGCTATGAACAGCGCCTACTTTGGGCTATTTGGGTAACTGGGTAACTATGCAGACTCCTAAACCCTAAAACACAAAAAACTAAACCAAAACCCTAAAACCCTAAACCCGAAAACGCTCAACCCTAAAACCCTAAACCCCATTACCCTCAACCCTAAAACCCTAAACCCGAAAATAGCATTGCGTGGCAGCCTTCGCTCTTGCTGTGGAAGGCCAGCATGGGGACCTTACAACTCAGGGGAGCTTGGCCATGAAAGCGGCGGTTTAGGGTTTAAGGTTTAGGGTTTAAGGTTTAGGGTTTAGGGGTTTAGGGTTTAGGATTTAGGGGTTTAGGGTTTAGGGGTTTAGGGTTTAAAGTTTTGGGTTAAGGGGTTCCTCGCGTGGTTTACATGCTTTTGGCTTGAAGCCGTATGTCTGCTTCCTCGTGCAGTATCATAAAGGTTTTAGAGTTTAGGTATTAGTGTAGTATCATAGTCAAGACGAAACAATCGAATCGAATGGATGTTGGTAGTGCTGGTAGTACAATTTTCAATTTCACTGTAGATGGATCCACACGCAGCTATACACATGCACAGTAACACTACTCATTAATCCTGATCAAGCTACAAAGGCAATAATGTCGGGGCCTGAATGATTACCTATACTATCAAGCGGAGTCCTTATTTATATGTGTAGCTTAAAAGTTTAATATACCCCAAGACCCTATTCTAATAATTAAGGCCCCTACATTAGTTTGCTCATCTCTACTGGATGTTCAGATGTACCTGAGTCTCCGCGAAGTCAAGCCAGGCTCAGTAGCGCGCGACGAAGACGCTGCCCTTGTAGATGAAACTCCTGCTGCAATTCTCGGTTGTTATAGTAAGCCCCAAGAAGTTGGAAACCGGATTAAGGTCAAATAGTGCTGGGATTCCCTATACTTTACTCTTCAGGATGAGGCGATTGGGTTTCCAATTTTTGGGCTTCTACTATCAGGGATCTAACTTAAGGTACCATAATAAAGAACCTAGATTTCCAAAATCGTGTTGCCTCCTTTGCCCCTAGACTCTAGACCATGACCCTACCATGACCCTACCATCACCTGTACCCAGAACCCCTAAACGCCTTAACCACGAACCCCTGAACCCTAAGCCCTGACCCCTACCCTCTAGGGTTCTACAGGTTGCGTAAGGCTTGGAGCTAGGGGCCAAGCATCGAGAGTACAATCCTGTGAGCCCCCTGTACACCCTATAACCCTTTACCTCTACCAGCCCCAAAAGCCCTAAACGCCATAAACCCAAAGGTTTACAAAACCGTTGTACTCTTCATGATGTAATAATGCTGCACTACCTTAAGGACCCTAAGCTATGGGAACTATAATACATTCCTGATTATGGGTAATTCGGTAATTCGGCATTTACATCATCAACCGTAGTACGCCTTGCAGTGGCCTTGGGTTTGGCCTAGAGACTAACACACTCAGCAGCCCAAACGTTCGAGTCGAACCTGAGGAGGTCTGGGGAGTTCCGGTTTAGGCGTTTAGGGTTTAGGGTTTAGGGTTTAGGGTTTAGTTCAGGATTTAGCTGTATCGGGTCTATAGAGGTTTAGGGTTTAAGCTTCAGGGGTGTTGGGGGGTTTGGGGATATATGGCTCTTCGGGCTTGAGGCCCAGGGTTTAGGCCTCTGCGAGGTTTCTGGACTAGGGTGGCGCATACCCTTCTGCTTCTCCAACTCTCATTCTGCACAGAAAACCTCTCCTCTGGCGATGGTTCTCACCTGGCAGCAGGGACCAAGATGGTTTAGGGTTTAAGACAAGACGATTGAGGGGCTGTTGCCAAATGTCGGCCGTACTTGGTACAGGAAAAGAGTACCTTGAAGAAGCCCGCGCACAAAAGAAGCAAACTGCATCTACCCTGCTATGTACTACTGCGAACCACGGACTCGGGTTTTGTAGGTTTTGTATCCATATCATCAGCCAGAAACAATGATATCAATGTAGCTTAAATGAACCTCAAACCCTAAACTCTAAACCCTGGAGGTTCGCTATGGCACCCTAAGGCTCAAAATATCCCAAACGCCTTATCTAGTATGGTCTTTGGCCCAAAAGCCTTAACATATGAGACCTTAGAGCCTTAGGGGCAGTTCAAAGCCAAGGTACCATCCCAGGGCACCGGCTCGTAAGGAAGCGGCCGAAGGAGGACGAAGTCCTCCTCGCTGGGCCTGTGCTCTAAGGTCGGCAATCCATCTGGGTCTCTACGGTTCAGGGTTTCGGGGTTTAGGGTTTCGGGTTTCGGGGTTTAGGGTTTAGGGTTTAGGGTTGAGGGGTTTGGGTTTTAGGGGTTTCGGGTGTAGAGGTCGAGGGTTCAGTGTGGCTCAGGGCTCTCTTGAAAGCAGGACCTAAGGCAGATCACAACTCAGGGACTCCAGGCGATTGAAATACCTGAAACAGGGAGGGTTTAGGGCTTAGGGTTTAGGGTTTAGGGTTTAGGGCTTGGGTTTTTTCAGCAACATCTTAGAACGCCTAGGTCCCCCCCAAGCCTGCCTGATAGAATCAGGGTAGCTGCGTTCCTGTTATGCAGAGTTAGGACGGGGAGCCCTAGAACACACAGGGCAACAGGGTGAGCCCTGAACCAAAAATCCGAAGCCCTAAATCCCTAAACTCTATAACTTAAGTTAAGTTATCGAGTTTAGGATTTAGGGTTTAGGGTTTTGGGTTTGGGGTTGATAACCCTAAAACCCAAAAACCTAAACTCCAAATCCTACAACCCTAAACCGGGCAACCTAGAAACACAACTTCGGCCGACACTTACAACCTTCGTGTTGGAGGCACCCAGGCCCAATAGGTTTATATAGGGGCCTTAATAATTAGAATAGGGTTTTGCGGTTCTTTATACTATAGTTACAATAATTCAATGAGGAGCCCCCAAAATAGTATGGGTAATTATTGCGGCCCCCATATTCGTTGAGGGGTTTAGGGCTAGCCTGGATATATGCTACGAGCCATAGGTTTGTAGTCACTTTGCTCTTCAACGACCATGACCATGGCTATGATGAGGATGGGGATCGCGGTGCTTGTTTCTGATAATTAGAGAGGATGAAGTTGATGAAGACCTGGGGAAATGATCGAAAATGAGACCTAAACCCCAAACCCTAAACCCAGAGTAATGGCATCATGTGGGCATGGTTACAACAAACACTTCCGAGGCTTCCACTTTGGCCCGACGGTGGGGTCCACAATCGCCAGGGCTGCCGAAATGACGCGTGGCTGAGACCTCGCAAGCAGGTATCCAACCTCAAACTAGCAGCGTGAGGATGCGGGTTTAGGGTCTAGGGTTCAGGGCATATTATGACGGCTGACATAAGTATTCTGGATAATCAATGCAATGGTTTGGCAGTGCATGCGGCCAGGGATGCACGTGAAGGCATCGACGACTTGAACCCTGCATGCACGAAACCTCAATGTACTTAGTGCAAATCTCTTTCCACCTCGCTTGAGACCTGTGCCATGAACAACAATTCTTTCCAGTTTTCTTGGACCCTAAACCCTAAACCCTAAACCCTAAACCTAGCAGAAGCTCTACCTAGTTGGGCCTCGGATTTCGGGTCAAGGGCTGAGGGGGAATCCGTTGTATGTAGACCCCTGACTAACAACACCTCCTTTTCTCATCGCCCTGGCAAGGATGAGCATCCGCTCAAAAAATACATATGTTTCAGGAAAGTGGAGAGTAATCAGATATACCTCTTCAAGACGGTCGCCCTGCGACTGCTGAGCTTATGCATTTCGCATTGGCATATCATGGCAGTTTCAGAATGTGAACAATAGACTCCAGGAATAGGGTTTAGGATTAAGGATCTAGGGTCTAGGGTTTAAGGTTAGGGTATAGGGTTGAAGGTTTCGGGTTTAGGGTTTCAACTTACAAACCCTTTAAAAACAAAGTCCTGACACGTTCAACCCTGAACCCGTTACTACGGCTGTAGCAGTTGTTTGATATGGTTCTGGGACCTTCACACCTTATACGCCTAAATCCTGACAAGTTCAGGGTTGAGGGTTTAGGGCTTAGGGGTGTAGGGTTTTTTCTATTTAAGCCCCTCTTTTGCGTCTGGGGGTGTAGAGTTTAGGGTTTAGGCTACTTATACCCCAATTTCCTGGCACGTTCAAAGCTAATCCGATAATACGAAGCTTTAATAGTTAGAACAAGGCGCTCGCCAGGTGTTTAGGGTTTTTAGGATTTAGGGTATAGAGTAATAGAGTACAGTTGTCATACACATTAGCTAGTTCAATCCCCAAACCCTAGTCTAAAGACCTTGCAAATCCCAAAAAAGCCCCCTTGCAAATCCCGCATTGGAACAATAATCCTTTCTAAGACCGTTGCAGAACCCTGAAACCCTCAAGGGAGCCAGACTTCAAAAACACCTACAGAAGAACCCGTAACAAACGCTAAAGCCTAAACCCTATAAAGCCTATAAGCCCCAAACCCTACACCCCAAACCCTAGACCCCAAACCCTATAAACCCTATAATAAACTCTAAACCCTACACCCTAAACCATAAACCCTAAAGCACCATAAACCCTATGGCCCTATAAGCCCTATAAGCCGTAAACCCTACACTCCACACCCTAGAAACCCATTATAAATCCTAAACCCTACACTCCAAACCCTATAAACCCTACAAGCCCTAAGCCCTACTCTCAACCCTCAGCCGAATCCTGAAGGCCCTTAGAGGCCCGGGCGGATCTCGATGGCTGGCTGCTTCGGAGTCCTGACAGGATTGGGGTTTAGGGTCAAGGGTTAAGGGGTAAGGGCTCTAGGGTTTTAGGGTTTAGGGTTAAGGGCTCTAGGGTTTTAGGTTTAGGGTTTAAGGCAAAGGGGTAAGGGCTCTAGGGTTTTAGGGTTTAGGGTTAAGGGTTAAGGGGTAAGGGCTCTAGGGTTTTAGGTTTAGGGTTTAAGGCAAAGGGGTAAGGGCTCTAGGGTTTTAGGGTTTAGGGTTAAGGGGTAAGGGCTCTAGGGCTTTAAGGTTTTAGGGTTAAGGGGTAAGGGGTCTAGGGTTTCAGGGTTTAGGGTTTAGGGTTAAGGGGTAAGGGCTCTAGGGTTTAGGGTGTAGGGTTAAGGGTTGTAGGGTTCTAGGGTTTTAGGGTGTGGGGTTTAGGGCGTAGGGTTTTAGGGTGTATAGGGTTTAGGGTTCGGGCTTATTTAGGACATGCCAAAGGACCCTCAGACCACAAAATGGCTGAAGCAGGCCCTCCAGAACTCGCTCTCGCTCTCTCTCTCGCTTTCTCTCGCTCCGTGGCTCTCTCTGGATACATTGTGTAGAGTATATACCAAAGTATGTGTGGTGTGCACCGCGGCCATTGCCTGCGTTTCCGTTGCGACGAGGTCCACTTCTGCGTGTTGATTCCCCGGATCTTGCCTGAAGCCCCTGGGCGCATGCGAATAACGGATTTGGTGCCGCCTGCACAGGTCTTCCTCGATAAGGTATCTTGTAAGACCCGCAGCAGCACGGGGCGCATACTTCATCGAAGCTCCCTGCTTCGATTTCTGACGCCAAGCGGTGCGCCTTTGGCTGTCATTTCGTCTGTCAGGCCGGCTCTGTCGAGATGCGTTGAGTAGGAGTCCATCCAGGAAAAATCGGTCTCCTGCGCATTTGGGTCGTCGCGCCATGGCTCATCATCCGACTCGGCCGCCGGGTACATTCCCCAAGGAGGCATCCAGGGCCTTTTGCTTTTCGAACCCGGCTGTTGCACCTGCCATGTCCTCCAGGGAGGTCACCGGCGTCACCGGCTTCAAAACCTGAAGAACCTTGCCTGGCTTCTTGACATCGAAGAGTCTTGGGAACTCATCTGCTCCAGGACCAGGCGTTGCCGAAGTGCTCATCCCTCGGAAGCGAGGAGCGCTGCTCCCCAAGTAAGTGCGCAAGTAAGTAAGTAAGTAAGTAAGTATGTATGTATGTAAGTAAGTAAGTACGTAAGTAAGCAAGCAAGCAAGCAAGCAAGCAAGTAAGTAAGTAAGTAAGTGTGCGTGTGTGCGTGCGTGCAGAGATTGTGTGTGTGTGTGTGTGTGCGTGTATGCGTACATGAATATATACACACACAGATAGACAGACAGATAGAAAGATAGATGGACAGACAGAAAGACAGATAGACGGATGGCTTAAGCACTTGCGTGGTAGCTTGGCATCTTGGTCGGAGGGTGTCAGTGAAAAGAGAATGGGAGTTCCTCCAGCCCAGTTTTGTTTGTCTTTCTGTGTGGCTGCGTGTCCCTCTGTCCGTTTGGGATGTAGTGTTTAAGGTCCATCTCATCTCTATCTTTCAGTATCTATCCATTTGGCAGTCTGTCTGTCGGTCTACCTCCTCGCTGGCTATCTATCCATCCTTGCCTGACTTGCTTTCCTTCCTACCGCCCTTCCGGCCGACCTAGCCGCACTTACCTAACCAAACCAATGCGGCCTTGAATCCCTAAACCCTAAACCCTAGGGGTTCTTGGGCGGGGGGTCCTTACGGCCGGTGCATGTGCGAGTTGGGTACATGGGCCGTCGGGTTCGCCTACACATATCGACCCTACTTTTTGGTAATAGGGTTTAGGGTTAAGGGTTTAGGGTACAGTACCAGGTAAGTCTAGGCCCGAAAACCCAAAGCGCTTGATGCCAGCAGAACTTGGAGATTTGGCTCCTCACGGACTGGTGACATGAATTGCCGAGCAACCCCAGACACAACTCGTTTTGGCTTGCTGCACCATTCAATCCTAATCTCACGAAGCCACTTCCCTACATGCCTGCATAATGTAGGATATTCATAATACGGAACCCTAACAGTTATATTGGTATTTATTCAGGCTTCTATGTTATTGAGACCTGTAGAAGCCGGGTAACCCTGCAGCGCACAGAGCAGTATCCCGGAGAGCCCAACACCCATTAATTAAGGAACTAAAAATAAATTATAGGGGCCTGTATATTATGATTTAAGGTATATTCCTTAATTAAGGGGTATTGGGATCTCGGGGGTGCGCCTCTTGACTGGCTCGTCGCTTCTTCACGTCAGCCTGCAACACACGGTCATACCTTTAGGGTTTAGGGGTCTAGGGTTTAGGGTTGAAAGACTCCCAACTACCCTCTAGTATACCTCACAATTGAAGACCATAGAGGCTCTGTTAAAGGGCCCCTGGGGGTCCTGGTAGAGGGTTTCGGGTTTGGGATCGTTTGTTGTACTTCCCCCAGTTGGCCAAACACACGAGTCAGTTTTAAGTGCTTCAAGTGCCTTGCTTGACGATTAGGCAAGTACCTGGACTTAAACCCTAAACCCCACATCCTAAACCCCAAACCCCAAATAAAAGGGCCTTCGCATTCGGACATCTCGGTCTTAAAACAAATAATAGCACAAATACGAATACTACCACCAAGACTCCGTAAGGGTCCGTGTGCCCAAAATGTATGTACTTTCAGGCCAAGGAATCTACTATCTGGGTTCATGGACGTTTAGGGAGTTGCTGCTGCTAATAACTACTAATACTGTTGATGACATAAATCCTGCGTTACCTTTATTCAAGGACAAGCAAATATGGGAACTATGGGATATTCCTAATTATGGGTGAGGAAAGAGCCTTAATGACTAGAGTAGTGTTTTGGGGTCCAGTGTACTATGATTACAATATGGAACCCCCAACAGAGTATTGGTAATTATTGAAGCCCCTATATTAATGCAGGATTCATATCACCAACCGCAATTTTAGCCGGGGAAGATCTTGGGTTCCTTTCATCACACTGCCTGGGCAAATCATGAAAGACCAAGGCCTACAGTTCTTGAACGGCAGGTAAGGTTTCAGGTTTAGGGCTTATAGGGTTTAGGGTTAGGGTTGTTTTTTTGTCTTCTTCTCCAAAAAGGGTTTAGGGTCTAGGGCAAGGCACACAACCCCAAGTACTAAAGCAAACCGCAGACTGTTCCGTGATGAAAGGTTGTAGAAGTCTGTGTAAACACCATGCGCCTTCGTGCTCTGAAGCTCGCTTAGGGTTTAGGGTTCAGGGTAGCCAAACATGCCGGCTGCCTTTCGTATAGACACTTAATCATGACCCAGTCAGTCAATCATGGCCCAATCAGTAAATCAGCGAAAACCGATATTGTAAATCATACGATTGGGCTCTCCGTAAGGTGCATAACCGCTAGACGATACACCCCAGAAACTCAAGCCAATAACAGCGCCCTAACAACTGTGCACACGGCGACATTCAATACATGACTAAGCCGTAAACCCTAAACCGCAGCCAAGACATCTCCAGCCCCAAGAACGTACAAGAGGAACTGACCTATAACTGCGGTGTGGGCCACATAAGTTCTCGGGCAAGCCAAGCCTCAAACCCTCAAAACCTTAAATCTCTGAAGCCCTAAACCTCAGATCATAAACCCTGAACCCCAATCCAGACCAACGGACTGCACATAGCCAGGCTTGTGGTCCAGGAGGTCGAGCTGCTGCAGCAGGCAGGTGGCCAGCTCCTTGAGCGCGATTTTCAGTCTGGGCAGACCACGGAAAAGCCAAGAGTTCACGTCGCAGCGCAAGGCATTCCAAATATCTCGAGCACGAGGCTTCTTCTTGCCGTCGCCTCCTTGGAGGAGCTTGGTAACTTCCATCTACTGTCGGCCTCCGACTCGGAACGGGTGAATATGGGTGGTTGTCAAAATTATGGTCCCTTTTGGGGTCCTTATTATACTACGGCACCTATTATTTAGGGCACCCCACAAGGGACCATAATTTTGACAGCTACCCATATGGAGGGAGGCCAATGCACTCCGATCGGCAAACTGTGCTGCCAAACCGACCTGTATAGACCAGAAGCCTGGCACATCGGACTGTCGCTTGTCAACACATCTCCGAAGAGTTCAGGGTTTAGGGTTTACAAGTTTTATAGGGTTTAGGGTTTAGGGGTTTAGGGTTTAGGGTTTTTTTGGGTTTAGGGTTTATAGGGTTTATAGGGTTTATAGGGTTGAGGGCTTAGGAGTGTACGGTTTAGGGTAGTTGACAGATATTGCTTGTCTCTTCCATCGCACCGTAGCGTTGGCCTTGCTCTGCGCAGTTTGCACAAGAGATACCAAATATGTGGGCCGTGGTATTGCCTTCGTAGAGACCGGTGCACCTGAGCCAGCTGAGGGGACTGCACCCCCATCGGGAATAATGATTGGCGGAGTCATATTCTGCACCTGCACTCTTGCAGCAGATTCTCGCATCAACTCGCCAACCAGGGCTCTTGCATGCCCGAGAGGAACGACAGGAAGCTCCAACTCCACCGGCCTATCTTCTCCATCTTCCTCCCACATGACATGCTGAAGGGGATGCTTTCTCAGCAACCGAAGGCACTCGAGACAGTTCAGGCAATACTTCAAAGCAACTTGCCAATCCATCTCGCGAGACCTCCAATTGGAGCCTCAAAGCTTCGCCGTTCCAGCAGTGCTGTTCTTTGAAAAGAGGCAGCGTTCTGTTGGTTTGAGGGTTTTGGGCTTACTGCTTCCGCGCCCTGGCTACAAGGGTCTCAGTACAGCAATAGCAGGGTGCAGGTCCCAACTACTACACTCCGGATGGTTCTGCTGCCTACCTGGATCCTTGCACCCTTAGGGGTGGTCGACCTTGCCGCCCTTCTCAAACGAAAACACACCTAAACCGTAAACCCTAAAAACCTAATCTAAACCCTAAACCCTATAAACCCTAAACCTTAAACCTAACAAGCCGTACAGTAAACCCAAGCCACCTTCTCCTCTTGCTTGCGGTCGGGCGAAGCGCCCCGAGAGTCGGCTGGACTGGCCTGTTTCGACATCGTTGGGCTTTGAAGGTTTCTCTTTATGCGCATAATTCTCTATATCATATGATTATGTTATAATGATATACACACACGTACAATAACATATATATATATATATACATATATATATAATATGTATATATATATATATATATTTATTTATTTATTTATGTATGCATGTATGTATGTATGTATGTATGTATGTATGTATGTGTATACGTGACAGCTTCACACCCGAAACAATCATAAACTAATTAGAATTACTTCAGGACACAGAGGTTTGGGTTTACTTTGCGGTTTAGGCTTCAGAAAATTAACGGTTTATAGGGTTTCTCTTGACATGTTTTTTGAGGGTTGCTAGAGATGTCGTTCTGAGGGATATACAAAGGTTCCAGCACTTCCGGGCTTGTTAAGGCTCGATACAATGAAGACTCTACCCTTCAGGGCTGTAAATAACCGTCAAGACTTTCTGAAGCTCTCCTTTGAGGTTCGACGATGTTTAGGAATTAAGAGTCTCCCTAAACCCTAAACCCTATGAACCCTGGATTTAGGGCTTTGCGGTTGGAGGTTGGAGGGCGAAAGTCAGGGCCCAGGGCGATGCGGCCTTTTGGGGACTCGGCACGGTGGGTAGTTGCGCTTTTCCTGGGACTGGCCGCATTCTCCTGAGTAGCTGCTTTATTTAGGGAGTTAGTGTTTAGGGTATTTGTTTCAGGAAGCCTCTAAAACAAGAACGAAACCATAAGTTGGAAGGTGAACACTTTTGGATTCGGGATCTTCGAATCTGTTTTTTTGGGAGGGTGGTTTAATGATAAGTATAGCCTCGAGGTACCGCATCTTGTACATTGCGCTTCTCTTCTCTATGTAATTACACTAGAATGAATCCCAACAATCCGTTCTACATGACTGGTGGGGACCTGCAGAACCCCATAAACCCTATAAGCCCTAAGCCCCCCTTGCGGGCCTTGTGCGCTGCAGATGGGCTCTCTGATGGGGGCTCCTGCACAGACAATCACATAATAGGGACAGCAACGATTGCTTCCCCGCCCGCTCATTCAATATAGCCTTACCTACGGATTAAGCTTTAGGGCTTGCGGTCTCAACTTTAAACCCTAAACCCTAATGAAGTCCATCGTATTATCGGATTCTGTAGGGGTCATGGCGACCTGAAAGCTATCCGAACCCTAAGCCCCCAAAGAATTCGACCGTGCGGCCAGATGGCAAAAGCAACTCCTCCTAAACTCTGAACCCTACCAGGTCCACCCCCGAAAGGGCCCTTGATTGGAGCCCTTATGGTCCTTAACTTGTGGGTACTTGGGGTATATTAGAGGGTAGTTGGGGGTCTAGGTAATGCGTGAAGCGTGCCTAAAGAATTACCACGTTACCAATCTTATTTTGGGGGGTCCTTATTGTCATTATAGTGTCATGGGCCCCAAAACCCAATTCTGATGACTAAGGCCCTTACATGAGGGCTTAAGGATGGGTCTTGCGGTTTCAGGTTTGCCAGAAGTCGTCGAGTCTCCAAATCAAGGCGCTACAGACCCTTCGTTCAACCCTAAAACCTAGACCGATTCGGTTTGGAGCTTAGGATTTAGAGCTTAGGGTTTAGGGGTTTAGGGTCTAGGGGCTTATAGGGTTTAGGGCAAAGTACAGGGATTCAGAAGGCTCTGTCTCTTGGCGCAGTTTTTGTGGTGGTAGTATGGAGGCCGGAAGAATTATTCTGCATCAGAGCCCCGCCTTGTTGTACTATGTCATACTAGAATCTACCACCCAAAACCATGCCTTCATGATTCAGGCCCCGATATCATCCTTCAAGCCCCAAAAGTAAGGAACCCTTGTTCCCATCGTCAAGGCCTAAGCCCTAAACCCTAAACCCCTAAATGGGCCGCGGTTTCCTAGCTCAAGCGTACGGCGCCTTTGCAAGATTCACGTTCACTGCTGGGTTGATGGGTTTAAGGTTTGGGGTTGGGGGTTTAGGGGTTTAGAGTTTTAGAGTTTAAGGGTTTAGGGGTTTGGAGGTTTATGGGTTTAGAGTTTTAGGGTTTGGGGTTTAGAGTTTTAGAGGTCAAGGGCTTAGGGGGGCTTGGGGTTTCGGGGGTTCGGACCTGAAAGATTCAATCTCCGAACTGCTTGGTCCGGAAACGAGGATCCCTGTGCAGGGTTTAGGGTAGGGCTTCGGGTTTCGGGCTTGGGTTTAGGGTTTAGGGTTTAGGGTTGAAGGTTGAGGGTTCAGGATTTAGGGTTTAAGCATGTACATCAG